TAAACAAACGCAGTCGCTTGACATGGTCTACCGTATTGGAAATCGATCCCAGACGCGAGTTCATGGGAGCCGTGTCACAGCTGCTGGCCAAGCACAAAGTCCAAGTGAGGGAGTTCACCGTAGCCAAGCCATCGTTGAAAGATTCAATCGCACCCTAGCCGAACGTTTTCGCACCAATACTCGCAGGATTTAATGGATCCCGGAAACAGAAACACGAAATGGGTCGTACGCTTGCCACGGGTGGTGGATGTCATCAACAATGAAGTCACCAGACTGCCTGCAGCAGCACGTCATGATAAACAGAGAAAACTTTACCGGACCGGGTCAGCGTTAGGTACTTGTACCAGCCGGGAGGATACGAGGGAGACAGCAGAAAACGTGCCACTGATCCGATATAGTCCATGAAAACGTACAACATAGACCTTGTCGACATCAAAGATGTCGAACCGAACTTGTACTACTTGAAAGACGGACCGCCGAGAGCATTCGTCAGAGAGGAGTTGATGATTGTACCTCACGACACAGTACCTTACACATCACCCACCGTGTGATGATAGTTTCTCGTCATGAATTTTTATCAGTCTATTTTTCTTCTTAATGTAGCCAGCCAGCCAGCCACCCGTACACCAAGCCGAGAGAGACACACGCACACGCATTGCGACTCGCCCACCCACAGCCCTCGGAGGAGCAACCACCTCTGAGGCGACCCGAGCCTTTTTCCCGACCGACCCCATGCTCGCTTAAAAGTCAAATATTTCAGAAACTATTCGACCGATTTTCAACAAATTTTGCATGCAACTCAGTAGTAGTATACACAATGGGGCTACGGGATTAAGGATTTTCCAAGAGCTCAATTTTTTTGTTTTTAATTTTAATTGAGCTCTTGGAAGGGATCTGGTCCCGTAGCCCCATTGTGTATACTACTCAGCTGGGCCTGACTATATTTCAGAGAATACATTTCGCTCGTCACGTCGAAGACTCCCTCACACTGCAGCCTTCTGCATTACCTTGAGTTTCAGAAGGGCTGTATTCCTGATAGCAAACCCATGCACTCAGGGGGCGGTGGGGTAGTCTTGTGGTTAAAGCGTTCGCTCGTCACACGGAAGATGCGGGTTGGATTCCCCACATGGGTACAATGTGTGAAACCAATTTCTTGTGCCCCCTGCCGTAATATTGCTGGAATATTGCTAAAAGCGGCGTAAAGCCATACTCACTCACTCAATGTATTTCGGTAGGACTTTCTAATATGTTCTCTACGCGCCCATCATGATTCGCCATAGATATTTTGCATATCAGTAATTTTGTTATATTTCGTAACGAAACGCCTCCGATTACATACTGTCATACGTAAGTGATGAATGTGTATGGTTCTGGGATTCAAACCCATGATCATAGTTTTCTGGTGTGACTAAGAGACGCAACTCTGCACAGCGAATTGCCGACTTACTACCTGCCGAGTCACTGAAGAACAGTGCATGCACTGACATTCTTCACAAACTTTTTACTTTTTGTTTTGATAACGGTACATGCCCAGATGTTTGGGGTAATAGTATAATTAAGGCAATTAAATAAGCCGACAGTGATCCACGTGATTCATTAGGCTATAGGGGTATATCCCTTGTGTCTGTTCCTTGCAAGCCTTATTCAGATATTTTAAACAGTCGTCTTAGTTATTGGTTGGAGAGTGACAACATTTTAGCTGATGAGGAAAAAGGTTTTCACAAAGGGCGTAGCACCCAGGAGCATATTTACAATATATTTGCCATTATCAACAATAGGAAACAATCCCGTCAGTCAACCTTTGTTTGTTATATTGACATAATGAAAGCTTTTGATAAAGTTACTGGACATTGTTTATGGTATTAATTATTAAAGCTTGGTATAAATGGTAAGATTTTAACCGCCGTTTAGTCCATGTATGAAAAGGCTTCAGTATTACTGATCCCTTTCAGGTCCAGTCTGGTGTCCGTCAAGGATGTGTTTTATCGCCTACATTATTCTCCGTACACATAAATGATTTAGTTGATAAGATTAACAGTTTGAATTGTGGCATTCAATTACACGGTAGTATGCTTAGCCTTTTACTCTTTGCTGACGATATTGCTCTTCTAGCCCCGGACGAGAATTGGCTACAACGTATGCTAGACTGTGTATAAGAATGGTGTTCAACTTGGCGTTTGATGGTTAATATTAATAAAACTAAAGTGGTACACTACCGTCCCTGTAGCATTAAACAATCTGAATATGTATTTTCAATTGCTGATGATGTTATAGACTATGTTCCTGCTTACAAATATTTAGGTGTATGGTTACAAGAAAATTTAGATCTTAACTTTACTGCTAAGGAAATAGCAGAATCTGCTAGCCGTGCACTGGTAGTAATTATTTGTAAATTTAAGTTAATGGGGGTATACCTTATGGTGTGTTTAACAGCTTGTATCAAGGGATAGAACAAGAGTTCTTGCTGTTTCAGTTGTCAGGTATTGACGAATAGTGCCAATGTCCTAGGACCGACCCCTGTGGAACACCATACTTGATGCTGGCCGAGTCGGAGTAATGACCATCAATGATGACGGTCTGAACACGACCCGACAGGTACGACTGGAACCAAGTAAGAGCTATTCCGTCAATTGAGAAATCACACCAGAGTCGATGGATGAGTTTACCATGGTCGATGGTATCAAAGGCACAGCTTTAATCGAGAAGGATTAATATATCAACTTTCTGTTCATGAACACCACGCCTCCAGTCATCGAGGACCTTGACTAGCGCCGGCTCAGTACTGTGATGACCACGATATGCAGACTGGAGATTGTCAGACAAATCGTGTTGTTGGAGATGTTCTGACAGTCTATCACACACTGCACGTCCAATGAGCTTGGAGACAAAGGTGAGGTTAGAAACCGGTCTCCTGGTTTGGCTTTTTCAGTAATGGTTTTACAAGTGCTGATTTGAACACATGAGGCATTTCACTGGATTCAAGGCCGGTGTTGATGATAACCGTCAAGACAGGGAGAAGGACGACAAGGTCGTTTAACAGCACAGCACGGACGTTGGTAAAGGGTCCAGAGCACATGATGTGGGTTTACATGTCTTGATCAGCTTGATTATTTCCTCCTCACTGAAAGATCTGAATTTAGTGAACTTCTGCTGATTACGAACACTACTGTCAATGAACCTACCTATAGATAGGTTGCAGATCAACTTCACTAGGTTCAGACACAGACATGTTGTTTACACATCTGCCATAGAGTCACGGATACTTATACAAGAGTTTTAGAGTGGAGATTCGAGGCATGGAAGATATAACAGTCCGTATCCAGTAATACATACATTTACAAGGTACTCATACAAGAGTTTTAGAGTGGAGATTCGAGGCATAGAAGATATAACAGTCCATATCCAGTAATACATAAATTTACAAGGTACTCATACAAGTATATCAAGGCCTGGAGTGAGTGACTTTAGTTTTACGCCGCTTTTAGCAATATTCCAGCAGTATCACGGCGGTGGACACCAGAAATGGGTTTCACACATTGTGCCCATGATGGGAATCAAACCCGGGTCTTCGGCTTGATTCGCTTCTCAAGGCCTGGAAGATATACCAGTCCATATACAGTGACACAATACAAAGTGCTTGTCAAGTACAGCAAGACGGTGATTTAGGGCATGGAGGATACAACAGTCCATATCGAATGATACATAGTTTTACAAGGTACTCATACAAGTACATCAAGGCATGGAAGACATGACGGTCCATATACGGTGATACATATATTTTACTAAGTACTTATACAAATATCGAGGTATGGAGTGGTATAGCGTCCATTTAAATACATAAAGTTACAAGGTACTTATACAAGAGCTTTAAAGTGGAGATTTGAGGCATGGTATAATAGTCCATATCCAGTAGTACATAATTTTACAAGGTACTCATACAAGTACATCAAGGCCTGGAAGATATACCAGCCCATATACAGTGTCATATAATTTTACAAGGTACTCATACAAGAGCTTTAGGCGGAGATTTGAGGTTTCTAATGACAGATTCTTGTTGCGAAGACATAAGTAAATTAAACTTAGCCAGAGTTGGGAATTCAAAATTCAAAGGGATATGTCTCTAGTAAATATTATAATAGTTATCCACAGGTGAGCAAAAAATGGTATTCTGTCTCCACGAGTCCGGAATTACAGACTTTGTAAAGTCTTTCATTCCTTGCGATATCAAGTGATACTTGTGAAAACATATTTTGCAAGTATATTTTATATTTAAAAATAATGTCTACTATTTCTAAAACTTTGCAGAAACTCTGCAGTAAAGAAATTCAGCCAGAAGTGTTACATTCACGTCATTGCATAACATGTAGTGAGTGACACAAGGCTATACAAATAGTTATGTTCAGTTATGATCAGTTCATAGACGAAAAGATCACATTATAGCTTCGTTCCGTTCTATAAAAGGGGTATTAAACCCCAAACATAGGTACAGTCCGTTTGATTTCATTTGAGATTGATGAAATGCTCATTAACACAAAATATAATAATTGCAACAAAACCAAATGAAATCGACAGATTAACTCTGATGATTTGTCTCATAATTTTGGACACCCGAAAAAATAGTTGTTTTAACCAACGATCAATAAGTCTAATAATCTTTTATTAATTTGTTGTCACTTTTCGCTATTTTTCACGAGGGCTACCATTTGCTGGTAGAACAGCCAGGTAATCAACAAGCGTGTGTTATGAAATTTCAATTTCACACGTGCAACTCGCACACCTGGCTGTTCTACTAGCAAGTGGCCCTCCTCGTAAAACATAACGAAAAGTGACGACAAAATAATGAAAGTTTATTAGATTTTGTGTTAGTAAGCAATTCATCGGTCTCTAATGAAATCAAACGGGCTGTAGATATGGATGGTTGCAAAAGATTATCTCCCCTGAATCCTCAACAAATGCGGGGTAAATGTATTTGTTGTATGTAACAGGTTTGTGGTACTTACCCGCCAGCGATTCTTGATAGTCTAGATAATCAACGCAGATTGTAGTACAAGTTCGCCAGAGTCCACTGTGGTCTATTCCTACTTTGACCCAATATGGTGATGCGTAACCTATTAAATGGAGCAATCCGCCCAAAGGAATGAGGATTAGACACACTTTAACCCAAATAGATGTGCTCGACAGGTCAGCCATGGTTGTTTCTCCTGCAGTAGGACTCTAGGGTCACTGTGGTCTGAGCGTCGGGTGTCATTGCGCAACAATCACGCGGCACTCGTCAGCTTTACCAGCCATGCCGCCAAACCAGACTTTAACCAATCGCTAACACCCACGTTTCAAAATGAAATTTAACACACATAACATGTGACCATTCGTCCGCCAACATTATAAATCGGGACAAAAGAAATATAATTATATACATGAGGAGACATATTCGTGTATTATTTCATCACAGAGGAATAGGATCAGATAACCAGCGTCCTCATCATGATGCAGCTATTTCCTCCAACAGCTGAATTAGCGTTGTCAGTTTCCATATTACACTATAAGTTGTTGAGTGAAGAGTTAAACAACAAACAAACAAGTCAACAAACAGTAAATAAGAACAGTATTTCCCACGTTTTAACTGTTGGCTCTTCAATCAAAGGTATCCATTAAGCGCACCCAACCACCCCTCCCCCCTCCCTCCCAAACTGTAAGAACGTAAGTATCATGTGACCTAGACACGTCACAACAGAAATCCCATTTTGCACACGATACCAGCGTTTTCTGTTGTTTATGACCAACTCGCATAATCTTTCTGAAACAGCTAAGAAATAACTTCGTCAATATCGTCTGATAAAATAGAAGCCACAAAACCCCTTTCGAATCCATAAGAAGAATCTGCTAAAGCATGGCTGATTGTACAGTTCCGCCTATCAGATAAGCAGGTGTTTATGAATCAATATCAAATAGTGATATGATACCAGGTGTTCGCGGAAAGATGAGCATATCGGCCCCCACCGGTGGCACCGGTCATAAATAAAGGCAAAGGCGAGTCAAGTGTTTATAAAACACTCGTGAACGTCCTCCTGTAATTCATACACGCTTTGAAAGAAACATTTTACCACCACTTCTGGATTCAGTTACTGACCTTGACCTTGACTTTTTCATACACAAATACACTTACATGTTATTTTCAAGCTCACACAGGATTGTCTGTCCGCATGACAGCATTTCACTTTTAGTGTTGTATCTCTGAGCGACGTCATGACACTATTTGCCCTACATGATAATAACTCGGTTGCTTGAGTTAACTGCAGCCTCAATGTCGAAACGTTAGTGCAGCAGACCCCGGGAACCAGGTTGAAGTTACCTGGAACCCGACCGAACCTACCCCGAACCCATCAATGGTGTGTACAATAAGAATACGCCTCCCGATTCGGTAATAGTATTTTCCAGATGAAATGAATGAATGATGCATCGTTTCCCAATTGCGTAGATCGATGCTCATAATGCTGACCACTGGACTGTCTGGCCCAGACTCGTTTATTTACAAACCGCCGCCATATAGCTGGAATATTGCTGAGTACGGCGTAAAACTAAACACACTCACGCACCTTCTTGATAAAACTAATCACATAGTTTTTAACATGTTCCGCCCGTTTTGACATATCTGATTAACAAGAAGCAGAAAAAAGTTTCAAGCTTGCATCCAGGTTGGCTTTGGTACCTCCCAATGTGCTGACTGAGTACTTGGGTGAGTGAGTGAGAGAGTGAGTTTAGCTTTACGCCGCTTTTGGCAATATTCCAGCAATATCACGGTGGAGGACACCAGGAATGGGCTTCACACAATGTACCCATATTAATAAGAGGATACCTGGGACTCTGAATTGTTGTCCACGAGTTCAGTTGTTCAACTCGAGTTATACAGAAAGCTTCAGTGTCGGGGAGTCTACACACCCTGCGACACGGTATTTCTGTACCATCTTTATTTAAACATTAACAAACCAAGCGCTGAGTTGCATCCCATAGACTCGCTGGGATCCAGTGACCGTGTGTTTGAATCCCTTATTCGCACTAAACCTGGATCTTTCATTGTAAGTACAAAACCGTCTTTCGTGGGTTTCACCAAAATAGTACATACCCTTCACCCATGCTTTCTCTCCCCCATGCTAATTGGTCAACGTAACTAAGGTAAATATCGTTAAACACAATTCTAAATAGTGTTGTGACATTAGCTTTGTAAAAGGTATCCCGGGCTGGTTAAAGGTTTTGGGGATATCGGTCTCTTCAAATACGAACGTTCATCAGTGGGTCCACAACACTTTATTGTGAGCTGTGTTTAACTAGGAGCTTAGTGCTCAGCTCCCAGTTCCAAACTAACTCACTAGCGCTCATTAATTTGACTATATCTCCGACTGTATTCCTAAAATGGTAATATGGCAAGACCATGTGGAACCTCGTCCACAACCCACATGCCTCCCGTGCAGTGGTCATTAGCATCATCTTACTCTTGACCTAATAAGACCATAGCAGAAAGCCACAGTCTCAGAATTTACTTGCAAAGCATATAATAAAAAGTGTTTTCTTTGATGCATCAAAAATGGTTCGGTCATCATGACCTAGTTGTTCTAAAGGTGTTTTGCACATGTTGTTAATTGGAGTGAATGAGTGAGTTTGGTTTTACGCCGCATTTAGTAATATTCCAGCAATATCACGACACCATGAATGGGCTTTACAAAATGTACCCATTTTAATAAGAAGATACCTGGAACTCTCAATTGTTGTCCCCGAGTTCAATTATTCTGGTTGGCTCTCGTACAGCACAAAGCTGCACAAAACACCGCTGTACCAAACAGGTAACCATCGCTGACATGATATGAGCACTTGACGAAATGATTTCGCCCCACCACCCCCACCCCACCAACACAAACACATGTATGACCCTCCCATCCATGTGTCCATCCATCCCCCACCCTAAGAATGCCATTAGTGTGCGTGTGTGCGTGCGTGCGCGTGTGTGCGTGCATGCGCGTGTGTGTGTGTGCTGATATCCCAACGTGACTTCCCCCTAGGAGTTTCCACTTCGGCCATCCCATGGCACAGTACCAGGACGCCTTCCGCTGGTTACATAAATTATTTTATTCATAAAAAAGGTACAAACGCTATACCACAGAAAATATGACAATCGAGAAACTGGCGTGTGTAAAACTTGAAACACTGTATAAAGCCTGTTCTTCAATTACGGAAGTTGCAAAAACTGACAAAAGTATTATATTCAACCATATGGAAAATCAAAGGATGACCTCTCAGAACAACTAGTTATTTTAGCAAATCTGCATACTTCAGTTACGTTCCTGAAATGACAGCGATTTAAATACCATATTTCCTATAATATGCACCGGGGCGCTGATTTTTTCAGCGGACTTCCAGACCCGGCGCTCATTAGAGGCCCGGCGCTTTTTGCGCTTACTGGGTCTAATTACCGTAATTGTTTGTGAGCTGCTTTAAGCCGGCACTTATTAGAGGAAATACGGTACCTTTTTTTATCAGCTTGTGATAAGCTGTAAAGGTGTAAACTCAAGGCAAAAAAAGCACATTCTGACAGGTCAAATGTCGACATTGTATACACACACACAATAAGCTATACAACTGTTATGCAAAACATGCTAATTAGATGCCAAGGAAGTGTACAGTATTTTATCGTTCACGATGCCAGCAACGTAATATTGTTTTGACAGTGGGAGACATTTAATTATATTTTAACAATTACCAAGAGATCATTTTTACAAATATAAGTTGGGAAGGATTGGACAACAGATGGCCAGCGATGGGTGAAAACCGTGTTTGTAACACGGAAGACGACGAGCCCTATCGAATCCATGGCGATTTAACTAAAGGGAACTAACTCTTACAAGACTAGTCGACCCGGGAGGGCCTTAAGCTCTCTATTTTCTACCACTTCCTAAACTTCGATTCTTCAGCCCTAATGCTTCAACCCAGCTGGTCACGAAATAGTAGCGTGCGGAACAGATTTAGCTTAACCTATCTGAGAGGCGTGTGTGGCGAATTATCCATCGAATACCAATGCTATGAACAACATTATTAATATGCCGATTTTGGGAATAGTGATAATGTATTTCTCTCAATAATATTAACTATTAGTCCTCAGGGAAGCTATCATATATAATATATTCCAAAAAAACTTACGTATTTAGATTAAAATATTAAATTAAAAAGTTTGAATGAATGAATGCAACGTTGCATTAAATCGACTCTTGCGCCCTCAACCGGTCGAACATTATTTCAAGCGAAGCCAGTAGAGTTATGTCCCTTAAAGCGCTCTTTACGAATATCCTACGCATTCGTGACCAACTCGTGTTATTCCGGGACAAGCCAAATAGCAACTCGTGCCCCTCTGGAAGGATTTCATATTGGCGTAGGAACATCAGAACTACTTCAAACAGGAACGATAACTCTATTCCTGTTTAATTTCCAATGGTACTTAATACCACCGAAGTATTCATACATTGTATTGCTGTTTTTGTTTTTGCTTATTTATTTTAAAGAATTAAACCCCCTTGATACAACTAAAAGAAGGAGAAAAACATATTTTTAAGGACATATTCTGACGTAACTATTACCAGATGTTCACCTTATATTTCCAATTATATTTCTGAAAAGGATTTAATAATCACAAATAGGATTTTATTGAATATGCAAAAAAAAATTATTTTTAAAAAAACCCAGCTACATTGGATCCAAATAACAGAAACTCAAAAAATGACTTTAAAATATTTCTCAAACTGAACATACCTGTAACCTTGCTGACATACCCCAAGTGGAATTTTAAATGAATTCACTGAAAAATATATGAATGACCAAAAAAAGGTCAGACTAAAATATTCCCAGAGATGTGAAATATATGCCCAATGTTAAAGATTAAAGTTGATTAGATACATACAGATATAAAAGTATTGTTTTGAAACTCGTAGCGATTTATCATTACATTTCCTAACTGTTGGAAGCGCATGTACAATGTACAATCACCACAACAAGCCCGCAAGATCGTCAGAAATACACTCAGTTGGACCAGTGAGAACCGTTATGTCAACAAACGCACGTGCGTGTATTTGAATGTCTCACCGTCAATCGCATGATTCTTATCAAAAACTTCACAGTAGACAGCACAATTCTGTTAGCTACGTTCTTAGTATTTTCAGTATGACGATACATATTTTTCAAGATTTTTTAAACAATAACATA